AAAAAAAAAAAAAAAAAAACAACTTTGGTCAGCTTTCGGGACTCGAGGCATGCTTACGCTCTGTGTGGAGATGGTTAATGAATCCAGTGTTTTTGCAGTTGCAAGCTTGTGCATTCACTGTGCAACGCTGACTGCAGGCTTTTGCAGTGGCAACAGCTCACCAAAGATATTAATTACACCGTCCCCTTTTTTTTCCACGAATGTTTGGCTATTGTAAGTTCGGACATTTTTGTTTTATTTCCCCTTCCCCTTGATAATATTTAACCTTTCTCTTCCTTTTTAGCAGGGAAAACTTTGCTGGGCGGGGGAGGGGGGGACCCTATGGAAAGCTGGTTCTGTATAATAAAGTTAGCAGTGGGGAGCTGGAGGGCTGCGACCTGTTCCAGCTTGAAGGGTAACTACGAGGTATTTTTGAAGAATATGGGCTGATTTGGTTTTATGAATTATTTTATTTAATATTTTATTTTACAAAGGGACACATCAGTTTATTTGTAAATCTCAGTGCTATCAGGGCAATCGGCTGGGATTCACAACAGAGCTTGGCTATATTTTTTACTGTTGGCTGTGATTTTTAACTCCACTTTCTCACCACCCGGAGGATTTCTTTGATTTTTTTTTTTTTTTTTTTTTTTTTTTTTACGTGCGGGGCTTTCTTTTGTTATGAGAGGGGAGGGGGGAGAGGGGGTAGTATGCGGATTTGTCTTGTTTGCCTTGGCTTTCCCCCCCGCTCCCTTTTCTTTTTAATCTGTTTATTTTGTGAAGCCTGTCTGCATTGTGGTCGGGGCTGGGGGGTGTGGAACGCGCTTGGCTGCCGCTGGGCTGAGGCTGCCTGAGCAGGGGTCGGGGCCGGGGCCAGGGCCGATGCAGGGGCCGGGCGGGGGGCGCAATGCAGGTCGGCGGCAGCTGTCCGACTCCGCATGCTTCTGTCTGTCCGTGCCTGTGCGTGTGCCGGGGGCGAGGCGGCGGCGGGGAGGGGAAGAAGCCCGGCATTGTCTCTGGCTGGCTGGCAGCGCCGCCGGGGCGATGCCTGCGAGCCTCCTGGATGCACATTTCCTCTCCTTCTCTCCTTCTTTTTGTCAGCGGTTCAGCGAGGAAGAATGCCGCCCACCCAGCCCAACCCCGGCCAGTATGCCCTGACCAACGGCGACCCTCTGAACGGGCACTGCTATCTCTCGGGATACATCTCCCTCCTGCTGCGGGCCGAGCCCTACCCCACCTCACGCTACGGCAGCCAGTGCATGCAGCCCAACAACATCATGGGCATCGAGAACATCTGCGAGCTGGCCGCCCGCCTGCTCTTCAGCGCCGTCGAGTGGGCCCGCAATATCCCCTTCTTCCCCGACCTGCAGATTACCGACCAGGTGGCCTTGCTGCGGCTCACCTGGAGCGAGCTCTTCGTYCTCAATGCTGCCCAGTGCTCCATGCCCCTCCATGTGGCCCCGCTCCTGGCCGCCGCCGGCCTCCACGCCTCACCCATGTCGGCCGACCGCGTTGTCGCCTTCATGGACCACATCCGCATCTTCCAGGAACAGGTGGAGAAGTTGAAGGCGCTGCACGTCGATTCGGCTGAGTACAGCTGCCTGAAAGCCATCGTCCTCTTCACCTCAGGTGAGGGGACGGTCTGGGAATATGAGACGTCTTTAAAAAAAA